AAAGAGAGGATAAATAACCCCATATCGGACAGGAGAAGACCTGGCATAACTTTAGTTGCCCTCTTTACCCTTCCCTCCTGCTGAGCTTAACCCACCATCTCCAGCCACCCACTCTGCCTGCTTGTACAAGGCACTGTATTATCTACTGCCCCTTAAAACCCAGGCTCAGCAAGGCGTGGGGGAATTCCTCTGCAAGGTTTTCACTGAATTTCTAGAGTTGGAAGGGACCATAGAGATCATCTAGTCCAACTCCCCTGCTGAAGCAGGATTGCCTAGAGCTAGAGCACGTTACTCAGGAGCATCCAGGCGGGTCTTGAAAATCTCCAAAGAAGGGGACTCCACACCCTCCCTGGGCAGCCTGTTCCAGGGCTCCGTCACCCTCACCGTGAAGAAGTTTCTCCTCATATTTGAGTGGAACCTCTTATGTTCCAACTTGTGCCCGTTGCCCCTCGTCCTCTCACTGGGAACCACTGAAAAGAGTCTGGCTCCCTCCTCCTTCAACCCTCCCTTGAGATACTTGTCAGCATTAATAAGGTCTCCCCTCAGCCTTCTCTTCTCCAGACTAAAGAGTCCCAGCTCTCTCAGTCTCTCCTCATAAGGGAGATGCTCCAATCCTTGAATCATCTTTCAAAGCTCCTGGGCCCTGACAACCTCCCCAGAGCAGGACAAAACACTCTCCAGCTGGGTTTTGGACCCTTCTGCCAATAAATTCAGCTGGCTGCTCGCAGCAGCACACTCCTGTGGGTTTAACCGCTATGTCGCCACTGCCCTACCAGTGAGTTTATGGTGGTTTAGAGCCTCCAGGGAGCCAGACCTCTTGATAACAGATTGGCACGATCTGCCACAAGGGTGGCACGCCCTGTTGTCACAAAGCAGTAAAAATAAATTTAAAAAAAAAAAAAAAATCTCCAGTTTTGAATGGGAAGGAAGGCAGGAGACAACTTGAAACTTAGCTGAATTTCTACTTGATAAAAATGAAACCCAGAGGGGGAAAAAAGCCCAAGAGGGAACTTTTTTTTTTTTTCCTGACAGGCTGAGTTACATCAGCTGAAGAGACAGGACAAAACTCAGCAGGAAAAAAGACCATCACAACCAAGCTCCTTAAGGGCAGCAGCCACCATTCAAGCAAAACTGCAACGTTCCACCCATGGCTTTGTGCATCTTTGCCAATAAGGAGACGTTTGGATTCCTCTTCTAGCACGGAGCACGTGAACTCGGCTGCCCAAGCAGAACCCTGGAAGAGGTTGCCCCAGAGAAGCTGTGGCTGCCCCATCCCTGGAGGGGTTCAAGACCAGGCTGGATGGGGCTTGGAGCAACCTGGTCTGGTGGGAGGTGTCCCTGCCCAGGGCAGGGGGGTTGGAACTCCATGATCTTCAAGGTCCCTTCCAACCCAAACCATTCTACAATTCTAACCCAGCTTGCTGACCGGCGTGCAGAGGGATGCAGAGGGATGGATGTAGGCCGACCCATGGCATGGTCCCCTCCAGATCATTGCCCGCTGTGGTGAGTGGGGCAGCTTCTGGAGCCCATGGAGGCTCTCGTGTCACCCAAAGATGAGCGAGCTGGAACAGCCCTTTCCAGTGCAGCTGCATTTCTTGCTGCTGCACAGAGGAGATCCCACGGATGGAGACCTTTCCCTTCCTCAGGGAGGAGGACACCTGTTCCAGCCCTTTTCCTGCAGGGCCACCTACATCCTCGGCAGGCTGTGATGGGAACGGGGCCATCGCTCAGCTGGTTTCTTGCCCCTGGCAGCTCCCCAGAGGAGAAGGGAGAGCACCCATGCCAGCAGTCACGTTTTGCCTTGCGCCACCCAGGGCTTATCTATAAGGAGAAGACGTTCACAGCGGCAAGCTTTCACACAGATGATGATATAAAAAACTGATTCCAGGACCTTCCTCAAGGCTGGTCCATAAGGCACTGGCCAAATTAAAGTCTTTACCTTCCTAGCACACACCTTGGAGGCTGCTGCCCCCTTAACAGCACATCCAGAACCTAAGGAAAGGGGCACGTCCCCTCCGGCACAGACACCAGAGTTTGGGTCCTCCTGATGTCCAGCATCCTTCTCATTCCCTCTTTACCCCTGCACTGAGGCTGGGCTGCAGAGACCACCCGGCTACAGAAGGCTCTCAGAGGACTATTCAACCAGCATCACAGCATCTGGGCCAACTCTTTTTCCGATATGCTTTCCCCTCACAAAACTTCCAGCTAAACCACGGCACAACTGCAAAAAGATTTCAACACAGCTCAGTCTCACGGGGAGGCGAGCGCCAAAAAACACCTTGGAAAAACCATTTAAAACCTTTCAAAATGCAGCCCAAAGATCACAGAAAAGGCAAAACTTTTGATTCTCTCCTTGCGTACACACCCAAATAATATCACTGTTTGCAAGAAAGCTATCCTTGACTCAATGAGATAAGCAGAGAATCAAGTGACCTGTTTTATCACGTCACAGGACCAAAGTCTTTTGAGAACCCGTGTCACTCAACTGCAGTCACATCTCTCCAAGAGTATCAGGCAGAAAGAGGAACATGGCTCTCAAACACAAGCAGAAGTTCGATAATAAGAGGTTGCCAACTTTTTTTTTTTTTGTCATTTGGATATTCTTCTCTCTGGTTGGTGGTTCCTGTATCTTTGTGAGGCTGCACAAAGAGGGATGCAGTTTTCAGATGTGGGTCACTTGTCTTCAAGCCACAGTAATCACGGATCCTCAGGCTGAAAATATGCCTGCCGTCCAAATACATTTTGGCACGGCCAGGAAAAACAAACAAGTTTATTTTTAAAGAAACGAGAGATCCTGAGACGATGGTTTGAGGGTCTGGAGCAGCTCGGTGCATTTCAAGTGGCAGTGTCTAAGGGGGAGGCTAGAGATGCCTTGAACGAAGCTATGCTCTCTGATGGGCTGTCCTCCTTCTGAGGTGAATCACAGCACAATTCCCACCTCTGACCTGCCCCCCAGTTTCACTCCTGGGACATGAAGAGAGCGGTAAAAGTACGTACATCACCCCAAACTCGGGGAGGAACCTTTGGTTCCACCTCCTTTTCTACCACCAGGATGGGAAAAGCAAAGCTTGGGAGCATTCAGCCAAGCTACAACACATTTATGTCATAACGTGCCTACACAGCCTGGCAAATAGCGATACCAAGATCAAAGCCAATCCCTTCCTTCCACAGTTTTAGATCAGAGAGTGTTTATTTCTGTCGCGTGGCACTCAGCTCTCAAGCCATCCCCTCCTCCCTGCTGACCAGCTTCCTCCCTCCAATGAATAATGTTTTCAGGAGCTTTAATAAATTCTGGAGGCGAACCAGAGCACCAGAACCTATTTAGACTCCAGGAGCTCCAGGCAGCCCAGCTATCAACAAGCTACAGAACACATTTTGGGAAAGAGTCAGATGCCAGGATTTCCTCGGTCTCCTTTGCTTTTTGACCCAGCAGATCAATCACGGGGCTCCCTGAGATCCAGCAGATGAAATACCTGCCTCCCTAAAACACATACCAAGGAAAGCAAAAGTCTGGGAAACCTTCTTTAACTAGAGAGATGATGTAAAAAGGTATTTTTCCAGACAGGCCTGTCTCCTAAAATGAGGGCACATAGCAGGGAGAAGAGAAATATGCTTGAAAACTGCCATATTCTAACAAACCCTACAATCTCAACTCAGAGAGGCCGCAAGGTTGGGGATGGCGAAGAGGAACACGGGGAGCAGGTGAGAACACGAGCCAAGGAGAACGAAACCAAGCATTTCTCTGCTGAAAGCCCCCACTTAGAGAGAGGGAATCTACAGGTAGGGTACACTGCAACCTACAATAAGGTATACTTATTAAGGTATACTTATTAATTATTAAGGTGTATATATATACCTATAATATAGGTATAACCTATAATAAGGTATAAGGGTACGCCATAACCAGGAGATGATGCCAAATCTCCACCTGAAGTTTTCAGATTGAAAACTGTCACTGATTTACATCCACGGTACCTCTCCCCCTGTTGTATGTTAATTATGCAGGTGCCTAAGATGAGGGAGCCCTCGCCACGAAGAGCCCAAGGGAACTATATCATTCCTGCTAGAGGCAACTACTGAAGAGAAAGATCTAGGGGTCCTGGTGGACAGTAAAATGACAATGAGTAAACAGTGTGCTCTTGCGGCCAGGAAGGCCAATGGTATCTTGGGTTGTATAGGGAAGAGTGTAGCCAGCAGGTCAAGGGAAGTCATTCTCCCCCTCTAATCTGCACTGGTGAGGCCACAACTGGAATCCTGCGTCCAGTTCTGGGCTCCCCAGTTCAAGAGGGACAGGGAACTACTAGAAAGAGTCCAGCAAAGGGCAACAAAGATGATTCAAGGATTGGAGCATCTCCCTTATGAGGAGAGACTGAGAGAGCTGGGACTCTTTAGTCTGGAGAAGAGAAGGCTGAGGGGAGACCTTATCAACGCCTACAAGTATCTCAAGGGAGGGTTGAAGGAGGAGGGAGCTGGACTCTTTTCAGTGGTTCCCACTGAGAGGACGAGGGGCAACGGGCACAAGTTGGAACATAAGAGGTTCCACTCAAATATGAGGAGAAACTTCTTCACGGTGAGGGTGACAGAGCCCTGGAACAGGCTGCCCAGGGAGGGTGTGGAGTCCCCTTCCTTGGAGATTTTCAAGACCCGCCTGGATGCTCCTGAGTAACATGCTCTGACAAGCTCTAGGCAATCCTGCTTCAGCAGGGGAGTTGGACTAGATGATCTCTATGGTCCCTTCCAACTCTAAAAAAATTCAGTGAAATTCAGTGAAACTCCTGGGTGGGAAGGTGCCTCCCATTTCTCGGGACCCCCTCTCATCACGACACCACAACCCAGCCGCCAGCTCCGCAGCTGCATGTCCTACGTGCTGGAGCAAAAAAAAAAACCAGAGTTTAAAAGAAAGCAGAGTTTCACAGAGGAGCAATTTCAGAGCAGCGGCTCTTCTCCCCACCCCACCCCATCGCCCAGCCTCGTAAAGCCTCCTGAGAAGGTGCCATTACCTGTAGGTGACATACACTGCAGTGCCAGGCTCATCTCTCTCCCAAATCAAAGCCACTCTGTCTGGAGACTTTTCGACGTGCCGATCCAAGCAATTTACTGTAAGAAAGCAGAGGTTTGAAGGAAGCCTGGTCATATCACCTGGAGGTTTTCAAAAGATGGGTTGACATAGTGCTTAGAGACATAGTTTAGTAATTGGGGGTGTGTGTGTGTGTGTGTGTGTGTATGGTTTTCTTTTGGTGGTTTTTTTTTTTACCAGAGTTAGGTTGATGGTTGGACTAGATGATCTTAAAGGTCCCTTCCAACCTAGACAATTCTATGATTCTGTATTCAAGTTGCTCTGTAAGCCCACACACCCATTTATAACATGGGGAGTGACAGGCCCAGAGGAAATGGTCTGAAGTTGTGGCAGGGGAGGTTTAGATGAGATATTAGGAAGAATGACTTTCCTGAGAGGGTGGTCAGGCACTGGAAGAGCCTGCCCAGGGAGGTGGTGGAGTCACCATCCCTGGAGGGATTTAAGAAACGTGTAGATGTGGCACTTCAGGGCATGCTCTAGTGCCCGAGATTGTTGGGTTGTGTCTGTTTGTAGGGGTTTTTTGGGGGGATTTTGGGGTGGTTTTTTGGTTAGGTTTTTTGTGTGTGTGTGTGTGTGGTTGGGCTCAATGATCTCAAAGGTCCCTTCCATCCATGAAGATTCTGTGGTTCTGTGATCCTGTGAGTGACAGCATTTGTAGCACTGGTTAAGCTGTCCTTTGCCATCTCTGTAGGATGCAAATGCTACAAATACTAGGGTTAATTGGTACAGCTGCCCTAGAGGTGGCATCCCCACGAGAGGCCTCAGCTGATTCAGCTCAGCTTGGCTCCACCAGCTAAGCTTAAACCAGCCCAAATCTCTCCCCGGCTCCCAGCAACACAAAGACAAGATGCTCTTTTGATGCTTTTGCTCCCCAGAGCACTTCACTGCATCAGTCTGACAGGCTGCCTTCCCCAGCTCACATTTTTAGCGCTGTGGTGTTTGAATTTTCTAATTAAAGCTCACGTGAAACATCTTTATCCCAGGGTACGGCAGAAGCGCTGAATCTCAGCTAGCTGAAAATATCTAAAACTTTAGGATCGAGGGTAAACTCACAGAGCACAGACGTCTACACATTACCAGACACCGGGGAAAGAGGAACGCGTCTCAAGCTGTGGACTACACCTCCTAAAACTTAAAAGGTATGAAATTACCTTCTGAAGGTGCATCTCTCCCCCCAGTAACCTGAAGTGGAGGAAACCTGGGCAGGCTGTTCCAGTGCCTGACCACCCTCTTAGTAAAGTAATTCTTCCCAATATTTAATCTTAAACCTCCCCTGCTGCAACTTCAGACCATAAACCTCCCTCAACTTCAGACCATTTCCTCTGCTCCTGTCCTTATTCCCTTGGGAGAAGAGGCCAACCCCCACCTCTCTACACCCTCCTTGCAGGGAGTCGTAGAGGGCAATGAGGTCTCCCCTCAGCTTCCTCTTCTCCAAACTAAACATGCCCAGTTCCCTCAGCATCTCCTCCTATGACTTGTTCTCCAGACCCCTCACTAGCTTGGTGGCTCTCCTCTGGACATGCTCCAGCACTTCAGAATCCCACCCTGAAGAATCCACCCAAGAAACCTGCCTGCACGCTCGGCAGGAGCTTGCCTGATGGTTAGAGATTAACCTTGGATAAAGAATTAATTCCACACCCAAACTACACTTACTCCTTTCATTGTAATCTTCCAAAGGCAGTTACTTTATTTCAATAGACAACCATTAAAAACCAGTCAGGCAGACTGCTGTATAACTCAAGAGAGAGCCCTTAAAATAACTGCTGAGTTTCTCATCATATTTCCTGGAAACATTAATTCTGGCAGGAAATGATTTCATTTCTGCAGATGATTTTAAGTGCAAGAAAAGCTGCCTATTGCTGTCACAATTTGTGAGGTTTAAGGCAACGGGAGCCCAGGAGTAAGCTCCAGGTGCTCTGTGATGACTTCTGTGATCACAGCTGATTTACACCACCACCCAGAGGGTGAAACAAGCCCCTAAAGGCGCACAGAGAGAGAAATCCCTCAAAATTTGGCGTATTCCATGACACGAACAACTGGCCACCTCAAAAACATGAAAAAGCGCTCTTCAGCTGTTTGAAGCTTTTAATTTTTTAATGTAAGTTCCTGCAGCAATACTATAAAAATAAATGAGATAAAGAGCCATTTCTTAGGCCATTTTAATGCGATAGGGAAGGACAAAAGGTCTAACAGGGAATGCTTTAAGCAGTTAAACACTGGTTTCCTCCACCGTCCTCCGTCCATAGGTAACTGGATCTGCTGCGGCTTGGTCCGTGACCCTTAGCAACTCCCACCTCCAAGCTCATTGCAGCAACACCCTCAGGTATTGCGCCACACCACAGTAAATCACATTTCTTACTCATCAGCAGCTTTGCTGGCCTTCAGAGGGAATTCCTGCTGCAGGAAGCCCCAGCTGGGCCAAGCCGTAGCTTGAGCTCTTTGCACAGAGAAGAACGGGCAGGTGAACCAGGGCTACGTGCTATTATTTCCTTCCTGATTTCAGGCTTACAAGAGCCTTTTGCTCATTTTACAGAATAGAATTTAGTGACCTTCCCCTCACTATTCTACCTTAATGGTTTCTCCAGACATTTTCTCGCTGCCGCCTCCTCCTCCACGCTTTGAAAGGATTCATTTGCTGCTGCCTCCTCCTCCTCCACGCTTTGAAAGGATTCATTTTGGTCAGACGTTTTCCTGAGAACCCAATGCCCTGGTTGGAAGCACAGTAGTTTGTTGGGTTATTCTCCTTGGCCAGGAGCTATGATGCAGTAAACCCCAAAGCACTGAAGCTCAGAATTTCCCCAAACCCTACTGCCAGGTCTCCCCAAGCAATAAGCAGCAGATGACTCAATGCCGTGGTCCAGATGTGTTGGGAGACGGGCACATGGGATGCTCTGGACCAGGGACCTGAACTGTTGCCGTGTTTCTGTAACCAGTGTTCAAATAAAGAGCTCAGGGGATAAAATCAGAGCCTCCAGGCAGAAAACAAGCCACTCAGAATCACAGAATCCCATGGGGTTGGAAGGGACCTCTGGAGATCATCTAGAACCTCCCTGCCAAAGAAGGTCCACCCAGACCAGGTTGCACAGGAACGTGTCCAGGCAGGTTTTGAATGTCTCCAGAGAAGGAGACTCAGCTGTGGCCGAGTAACATCTTCATCGTGCCTTAAAAGATGAAAACCAGCAATAGCAAAACTGTTTAATCCCCTGCAACCACGTTTCAGAGGTCTATGATTTATTTTTTACCTATGCAAAGAAAACTAAGCGGCATTTAGTGCCTGCTGAAGAACCAGACCCAAGACACGATCTAAACTCAGGCCCAGCAACACCTGGATTTCAGATACCTGACCCCCATGGGATCCAGAAGAAAGCGCTGATCCCGCTCTACAGAGGAAAGAAACAGATCCCCAAAAGTCTCTGTGCTCAGACAAGAACTTCCTTTCAACAGGAATCAATGAAAAAAGAAGTCTGGGTAAAATCCCTCTGATCGCTGGGTGCTGGAAGCAGGGCTGTACACACACCTCCATCAACCTGGGATCCACTGCTGGGAATCATCTCCTGGAGGAGATGCTCCCCTGTGTTCCCTGGAAAACCTGGGGATGGTTTGGACTTTTGTCTCTCCCTTCACATAAGTAGTGAAGTTGGAGGAAAAAACCCAGCTCCCCATTTAAGGCAGAAAAGAGGCTGCGGCTTCCACCGTAAAAGGCTGGGATTCACAACATCCCCCACCTTTGGTTCACCTTCTCGTCATTGCTGTGGAGCCTACCATGGGACCAACCAGCACCCAGCTGTTGGGGTTGAGGGTGGCACAGCTGAGGTCAAGGCATCCCTGCCGGCGTGGTACCAGGGATCATAGAATCAATCAGGTTAGAAAAGACCCTTGGGATCATCGGCGAGGTCAAGGCATCCCTGCCGGCGTGGTGCCAGGGATCATAGAATCATTCAGGTTAGAAAAGACCCTTGGGATCATCGGGTCCAACCATCAGCCCTACTCTACAAAGTTCTCCCCTACACCATATCCCCCAACACCACATCTAAACGGCTCTTAAACTCATTCAGGGATGGGGACTCAACCACCTCCCTGGGCAGCCTGTGCCAGTGTCTGACCACTCTTTCTGTGAAGAATTGTTTCCTAATCTCCAGTCTAAACCTACCCTGTTGCAGCTTGAAGCCATTTCCTCTTGTTCTATCTCTAATTACCTGTGAGAAGAGACCAGCACCAACCTCTCTACAGTGTCCTTTCAAGTAGCTGCAGAGAGTGATGAGGTCTCCCCTCAGCCGCCTCTTCCTCAAACCAAACAGTCCCACAGCTCCTTCAATCGCTCTTCATAAGATTTATTCTCCAGGCCCTTCACCAGCTTCGTTGCCCTCCTCTGCACCTGCTCCAGCACCTCAAGATCTCGCTTGGATTGAGGTGCCCCAAAACTGGACACGATAGTCCAGGTGTGGCCTCACCAGTGCTGAGTACAGGGGACAATCACCTCCCTGCTTCTGCTGGTCACATTGTTTCTAATACAAGCCAGGATGCTATTGGCTTTCTTGGCCACCTGGGCACACTGCCGGCTCATGTTCAGCCAACAGTTGACCAACACCCCCAGGTCACTGCAGGGGGTTGGTGTGACCCAAGGGCAGGACTTGGCACTTGGCCCATTAACGTTGGCCCATCGATCCGATCCATCTGAGTCTCTCTTTTACAGCCTCCCTACCCTCACACAGATCAACACCTTAAATTGGTGTCACCTGCAAACTCACTGATAATACACAATGTCCTTATCAACCCCACTCAGACCTGAAGACCACAGAATCACATGAGGTTGGAAGGGACCTCCGGAGATCATCTAGTCCAAACCCCCTGCCAAAGCAGGTCCACCCAGAGCAGGGTGCACAGGAACGTGTCCAAGGTGGGTTTTGAATGTCTCCAGAGAAGGAGACTCCACCACCTCCCTGGGCAGCCTCTGCCAGGGCTCTGCCACCCTCACACGAAAGAAGTTCCTCCTCATCTTTAGGTGGAACTTCTTCTATTCAAGTTGGTGCCCATTTCCTCTTGTCCTGTCCCTGGGCACCACTGAAAAAAGACCAGCCCCATCCTCCTGACACCCTCCCTTTAAGTATTTATAAGCATTGATCAGATCCCCCCTCAGCCTTCTCTTCTCCAGACTAAAAAGACCCAAGTCCCTCAGCCTCTCCTCATTAGAGAGACACTCCAGGCCCCTCATCATCTCTGTAGCCCTCTGCTGTCCCCTCTCCAGCAGTTCCCTGTCCTTCTGGAACTGGGGAGCCCAGAACTGGTCCCAATGCTCCAGATGGGGCCTCCCCAGGGCAGAGCAGAGGGGCAGGATGACCTCCCTCCACCTGCTGCTCCCACTCCTGTATTTTATCCAGCTGGGGCCGGCTCTCACCCGAAGCCATGGGTGGCCGTCGGGGGAAGCAACGCCAGGGAGGGCGGCTCCGGGAGGGTCATCCCCGGCTTGGGACTCCTCTCCCCGCTCCCCGGCAGATTTCCTCCGAGCCCCCCCAACCCAAATCCTCGGGGATTTTATTACCCCCTCCTCCCCCCCCAAAAAAAGAGGGGCGAAAACGACCCCGGTGGGAAATCTCCCGGCCGTCCCGACGGCAGGATCCGGGCGGCACCGACGGGGCGACCCCCCGGGGGGATGGCTGCCCCCCTCCCGGGGCTTGCGGGGGGGATGCGGGG